ACCTTCTCCCCCTGCGAACTTAAAAAGCAAAGAGAAAACAATCACAAACTTGAAATGGAAACCTCAAACCATAAGGCTGCCAGCCCCCTCAACTAAGTTTCTTCTGTCACATCGATTAAACAGTCATGGATTCTCCTGTGCAAATCACGCAGCACAAGAAAGATGCTTCCTCCAAGCTTTCTGAGACAGAGTTTCCCCTCAAGCAAGGGGAAAAATGATAAAAAACTGCACGGGGAGGAAAAAAAAATTCAATATGCAACACAGCTCAACACGATTAGAAACAGATGTCTGCATTCCAACTCAGTCAGCTACTGCCTCCCAAAACCTGCTCACCTGCCTGCAACCACTAGTGAGCCAATTCACACAGTCATAGAAAATATATACATTAGAGTATTGGCCAAAAGTGACAAAAAGAGAGGAAGTAATCAATCACGTGAGCTTTAGAGGACAAAAGAAAGAAACTGAAGTGAAGAAAGGTAAGCTGCAGTTTCTTGATCTATAGAAATGTTTGCCTATGTGTTTGTTTCTAGAGGAGAGGGAAAATGGACATGCATGTTCATGTGTTCACCCTCATGTAGAAGACCAAATAGAGTCATTATCACACAATTAAAGAAGGTAAAACAAAGTTTTCCTCCCGACATCAAGGGAACAGTCAGGGCAAATGGATAAGACACAGGTGTCATTTTAGCTCCAGAGGGGAGAAACTGATACTCATTTCCTGCTCTTCAGCTTTAGGGTGAAAGAGCACCAAGTCAGTTATGACTATTGCATATACCTAGAAAGCCACATCCAGATCACCCTCTGGGGTCAGTAAAAGATGGCAGTTAATGCCACCACTAACTCTGCACGTCCACTCTGGGATCTCACACTTAAGCAGGTTCTTCCTGCCCTGCTTAAGAAACAGCTGCAGGTCAGAGTCCCCTCTCAATTATTCAAACCAACCAGGCTCTACAATGATCCCCAAGGACAGCAGAGCTATTGCTGCCGGCTGTTTTGCTGGCAATGCACAAACCCAAACAAAACTCAGTTACTTCTCCCAAGTCCTAGCAGACTCAGAGAGGTTAACTGCACAAAGCTAGGTCAAAGCAGAGCACACTATGGCCAACAGCTCATCTTGATATGCAGTAGGGGAAATCTGCTGATAAAATCAGAGTAAGAAATGAGGGCAGGGGAACATTATCCAACATTTTAACTTCTACACATTAGGGCTTCAACTGCACAGTTAAAACCACTGCAAAGTTGCTCTGGTTCAAGTTGGTTGTTTTGCTCTAAGGCAATCTGCAAGATCAGATTGTTTTACTTTCACAAGAAGTTCCTAGATAATCATTAAAAGAAAGCCCTCAAAATTAATCATTTTGATCACTCCCAATGGAAGAGAGGCCCATTCAGTAAAGTTGCCTGTCAGTAACCTTTCTCTTCCTTCCTTTCCCCAACGAGTTTGGGGCACATTTTACAGTTCGCCTGAAGTTGTCCATAGAAGCAGAGATCTCCTCAGATATTACTTCTTCATAATAATCCATGGGAGAGGCAATTAGGTTAAAATGAGCATGTTCAAATAGAGGAGTTGGGTCTCAACTACAACACTGCATAAACAGGAGAGCCAGCCCAGCTTTTTTAATTCAGCTGCTCATGTAAGTATTCATTTTCCTTTAAATAAGCATCCAGTGTAGACAGATAGTCTTCAGTACAAACTTTCCTTCTCTCTGGACTTAACCTGCACCTCACCAAGGCAACATCCATGAGGAGTGGTTATCTACTGCAGCAGACTAATGACACAGTCAGAAAGGAAAAGACTGTCTCTTGGCCTTCCACACCCAAAGCATGTTTCTGTCACAGTAGGGCACTTTATGATTGCCCCAAAATGTACCAGGGGTTTCCTAGCTCTCTATCTACACCTGAAACCTGGCATCCTGGTGTTCATCTACAGCTGCACATTGGAAACCATTTGTGTGCCTCCATCTTCTCTTTGCTTTAAAATCTGACACACTTTGAGTACAGCATCTCATTAAAATATTTTACAATTAAAATAGCAAATGCCAGTGGCCAGACCTGGCAGGAGAAGTCAGCCTAGATCTGAGTACTTTTTAAAATTCAACACCAAAAAAAATCTGGATCCAATATTAGTAATTAATAATTAACAATTGATAATTGATAATTAATAATGAATAACATGAAGGTCCACTTCTTTCTTTCCCCTCCAGTTTACATTGTACACTGCTCCCTTTCTCTTCCCTAGCTACTGGCACCTCGGGGAACAACAAAGCATGAAGGTGCCAGTGCTCTACCAGAAACTCCCGAGTTTGCCTTCGCACATTTGAATTGGTCCACTGCACTTAGGCTTGCCCTGGTCCCTGAGCACACATAAGTCACTGCAGTAAGCACCAGTAAATGGAAGTTTAACATCTGCATGAAGCAGAGTTCAAAAGCCAAATGAACTCGGGGCAGAGGGATGAGGATTATGAGCAGCTAAGAAATGTAGTTTAGGGTATGCAGCTGAGTAAGTACAGCGTTTTACTAACCCAAGGAGGACAGCTTTGAAGATCAATTAAACCAGTGGTTGAAGGAAGCTGAGGTACCCTTATTTTAAGAATCCTACTTTAAGAACACACTCAGAGTCTTCTCTAGTCACTAATGTGACATGCAATGTGTGACCTGCTATCAAACCACAGCATAACTTTGAAGACTTGCTGAAAACCCAGAATGAACACAATGCCCTCTCATCCCCATTACCCTGCAGGGCACTGTTAGGGATGCCCAAAGCAATGAAGCTGCAACAGCACATATGGATGTCAAGACACTTCCATGGCTGAAAAAGATGTGTAAAGGAATAAGCACAGTTTTCCCCTGCACAGTGTGAAGAGATGATCAAATATTCTTGGTAGCCTTTTAATACCTTTTCTTCTACTTTACCTTCCTTACAGGAATCATTCTGTTTGCAGACCCTAAAAACATTCAGAAAAGCACCACCACACAAAGAACAAGGAAGCCTCCTCCCCCAGCTCCACATATCTACAGGATGATCTCTGTAGTGACACAGAGACACAGAGAATTATAGACAAATCAAAGCAGAATACCTAAGAAAAAATGCCTGAAGCCAGAGGAGCTGTACTCTAAGAGCACAAGTCTCTAAGATTTAGCTTGAGTGTACAGGCACTGTCCTCTAGAGTAGCAGTCCAGCAGTGCAGGACTACAGCAGAAAACCCAGCTGTGGATCAGAAGCATATGGGATACTTCGTAAGAAGCTTCACACAGAGGAAGATATCACTGAAAAGATGAAAACTTTCAGCCCATTAACAGCTGAAGTTCAGTAAGAATACCACCCTGACTACTCTAGAGAGTCTTGGTCCTTGCAGACTTCAGGAAACGATAGACTCTCCAAAGCAATTTTGATGGCTAGAGTTGGAGGAGCCTTCCTCGGTCCTAGCCCACTGCACACAACTGCTCTGAGCTCTCATAGCAGACACAGCTGCCATTTCTTAGTAGCAATGAGCCAAAATACTTAGGTGGTTGGAGCCTGTTTCTCCAGCAGTTCTGCACCAGTAGAACTACCTGTCCTTTTGAAGGAAATCTCAGTTTACATCAGAACAGCTGAGAAGGGAGAATCAGAAGGTCACATTAAATGTTTAGGAGGAAGTGGAGGTTATAGGCCATGTTCAGCCTCACTGGGGAACAAATGTATCCAAGCCCTGGCTAGAAGGATGGGGACTGCGAGGGAGGAAAAGCTTTAGACACAAAAACACATAGGGAATGTATATGGGTGAAATATGGGCTCTTGCAAATAAAACAGAAACCACAGAGCTCCCCAAAGCAGACTTTCCTAGAAACCAGATATTATCTTTTTGATACTCGCCCTCATTAGACAGCAAGTAATAAAACCTATTAGTGAAAAATTCATCTCCCCTGCCCCTTGCCCTGGCCCACCCCCACCACATGCCCTCCTGCTCTGATCCTCTCTCTCTTCTAGGATGGCTGCGATTTGTTCTAAGAAGCGACAGGTTTATAGGTTAGCCGACACCTTCTCTCTGTGGAATTTTAATTAACTTCTCCCATCGTCAATATGTTAAGGAGCAGGGTTCCCATTATACGAGGTCAGCAGTGTGTTTCAGGCCCTGCTATATCAGCCGTCAAATTGAAGAATTAATGACGTGGCTAATTGGCTCTAATTCTCCACACCCCCCTCCCTAAAATATGGAGGGGTAAGGGGGGGGTGCAGTAGGGTGGGCTAGTGGGAGAGGCTGGTACAGTCCACAGTCTCATAAAAAAAAAAAGAGACTGCACGATTTAAGCCCACTTATCCATGGGGTAGCTGTTCCACCATCTCCAATTTATCACCCTGCAGGGAGGAAAGGGGAGGTGGGGAGACTGAGGGTAAATATTGTGACAGAGAGTGTGCACAAGCGTGCACACCAGGGAGAGGAACACTGTCCTGACAAGAGGCCACGGCAGTAGGTCATCACTTAGGAGTAGGAAGCAGAATGCCGCTGGTCTCTAACCAGCCACGGTGCCTGAGCCACAGCCTGTCCACCAGAAAAGGGACCCTTGCAGCACACAAGACAGGAAAGGGCTTCTACCTCACATCTTGCAGTGGCACTTCTTCAAAAACACTAATTGGCTCAAATATTCAGAGCAAAGGAACAAGGCAACAGCAAAATCATAGCAAGCCTGGAGTGTCATTTCCCTGATAAAGCCATTAGCTCAGTACTGCTAAATTTCTGTTGCCTGCAAGACAAGCTTGGAAATCTAACAAGGACAGCAGTTGTGGACAGTATTTTGTTTTTGCACAAGCCTAAAATTCAGTACTTGCAGACATCACATGAGCAGCAACAGCACCTCCCCTCTTCCTTGAGGTATGCTGAGGAAGAATCTCTCTTGCATGTAGACCAGTTTGACAGGGAACAGGATCACTGCCGGTAGGTGTAAGATTTTAACAGTGAGAGTTACACAGATTTTCACTTCAAGAACAAGAGCACTTCAAAAAACACCCTGGAAGACACTGGTGTATGTATTGCCCTTGCCTCCCATGCTGAAGCTGTACTTGTAGCATTATGCCTTCACTAGAAGCACAGAGCTACAGGCAACAGAGGCTGGAAAACCACATCCCTGAACTGCACTTCATCTTTGCCAGTTCAACATGTTCAAAAAAACCAGAGTTTTAACTACTGCATGCAGCTCTCAAGCAGGGACCTTTTTGCTCAGCATCTCTTCTGCCAGAGAATGAGAATACAAGTTGGCATCTTTTCAGCACAGAAAATCTCAAGAGGATCCAGATCACTGTTTCTAATCAGCATTCCATCATGAAGAAAGAACAAACAGGTCCCACCTGAGGCACTAAGAGGAACCGAGGGCCACCTTCACGGCCTCTTTAGGAGGGGATCACTCTGTTGGTATAGGAAATAAAGACCACATGCTCTTCCCTGAGCTCCTGCTGCAGGCACAAGCACCTGATCAGCCTCCACATAAATCAAGTCCCTGAACTGCCACATTAGTGCCTCAGAAAGATTTGTGGACACACAGCCTATCCAACTCTTTTACTTCTCCCTGCTGAAAACTGGGAATAAAGAGATCTGTTACCTTAATAGTGGGCTGATAGCAATGGACCACACTCGATCCTCTGTCTGCACTGTATGTAGACACTGACCAACTCTGCCCGCGGACAGGGACCAAACCTAAAGAGAAAGATGCACGTTATGCCACATCACCCAAAACTGCAGAAGGTAGGATGCATGCTGCTAATGTTGTGCTGGATGAGCTGCACAAACTGCCATGCTTATCTTCCCAGAAACCCTCGCCCTGAATTCCAATTACTTATTCTGGGGGAGCAGAGCCTTCAATTGCTGGTAGAAACAAGCTCTTGAAGTCACACAAATATTCAGCTTATAAGTATGATCTTCCACCCCACTCATAACTGAGAGAGCACCCCCATCACCACTTGCTGTCTAAGGGCGACACTCAACAGAAACTCTTCATCTTATGTAGTTAAATAAATGACAACTAGGATTTGTTCAAATCTATTCTCTTGAACAGTGTGGGAAGACTTAGTAGCACTCCTGAAAAATTTCCATTAATATTAACTATAAAGTTAATCTTTCACCAGCCTGTAAAATAACTTTCTTTTATAAGACCCCCCCACTTTAGACCAAGTTTTTCAAGTGTACCCCAGGTTGTTTTCAAACTGGCTGCCTTGCTCACAGACAATGAGAGAATTTCTTCCTTCCCACAACAGTGCAAACATGCACATCTCCTTCCACCAGTTCATCCCTTTGTTTCTGGACCCTAATAAAGGTCCCAAAATTCTTGCTGGGGCCTCTGCTAGTGGTCCTCATTTTCTCCACCTTGCCATCATTCCTGGCCCACAGGACTCAAGCCCCCCAGTTGTCTGTAACCAACCCCCAATGTTTTGCTTCAAGACTTCAAAGCGCAGAGTGCCCTATTTGTTTGTTTGTTGATAATGCCCAGGATTGCAGGCTATTCTTGTCAGCGGGGAATTTAGCACCTAGTGTCAGCAAAAGCAGCAGAAAAGCTTAACTCCTTTAAGGCATCCCTATCTCCTACAGGTTAAAAATATTGCTCAGAGCACACTATCTGCTGCCTATCACACAGGAATGTACATTAACAGCTCTTCAGGGCTTAGTCCTAATCAACACTCAGCAGAGCCCTCAATAGCTTAGACACTTAGAGCCCCTTTAAAAGGTTGGCAGGGATTCCCTTCCACCCTCCAAGAGTCTCATTCATGCAAACAAGACAGCCTACAAAAGAGATGATAAAAAATAAGAGGTGAACATCCCCAGAGTATATGCTGTGAGGAGCACTGGGTGGGCAAGATCTCACACTAGGTCTAAGAAAAACAGCTTGAAATTCCCCTCTGGGCTTCAGGAATTTGTTCTCAAGGTCGGGGATGTCGGTTCTCCAGCTGTCAGAGAAGTAGCAAGAAGGCACTCTCCCAGAAAAGAGGATCCACAGACCAGAGAGGAGCAGCACCGCTAAAATGTGAGACAAAGCAGCATCAAGGTCTTGCTCCTAGGCGGCAAACAGCAACTCCAAAATTGCCTTTTGCTTCTGAACATTGCTTGCTTTACTTGGAAGTTATTTTACTCATGAGTACATCTGTACAGAGGGACTAACAAAAATAAATCGGGTCATGCTGCTTCATACATTTCCTATAAAACCTTGAAAGAGAAATTTGTCTTTCCTTGCTTCAACTTTCCCTCTTGAAAAACAGGAATTAGCTGGTTTTCGTCTTTCCTCCATGGATGCTCTATGATATGAATCAGCACGAAGCGTGTCTATCAGCCTACCCAGAGCAAAAGCCAACACATACAACAACCACTTCCAACAGTAAAACAAGTGGTTGTGAAGATACTACAGGTACTGCATAATGTTAGCAGGATAGGGGTGAAATATCTGTGTAGAGCTTCCTAAACTGATCACACAGAGCTGATCATACCTCAGAGAAACAACTCTCCAGGTCCACACAGGCACAAAGCATTGCTAACCAGATCTAGAAGGACAAAAATCAACAAGGTTCTGCCCCATAAAGAAATAGTCAAAAATTACGTGACAGGACCCAGTGATGCCAGCTGGAAAAGAAAAGTGGGAGCTAACAATACTAATAGTCTAACTTCATTCCTGGTTTGCAAACCAAGAACCATTGAAAAAAAAAACCCAAAATAAATAAAATAAATAAACCACAAAATTAGTAAATAACCATAGATTTGGAAATGACATCATCCTATCCTTTACAGAGACTGAATATATAACAGAGAGCACGTTAAACCACATTGCAACGTTAAATCAACGAACAAGGATGGGTTTGAGATCCATACAGCGAATTTCACACTAACTGGCATCTCCACTACAGTGTGGACAGATGTACAGGGAAAGAAGCAAAATATCAGCTGCTGCGCCTTCTGCACTTCCAAGTTTAAGCCAGCAGCTGATGCTGTAAATTACTGCCAAATCTCTTTCTAACAAGCCTGGCAGAGCAAGCATCTTTTCAGAGACATGAGCCAAGACAGTCAGCATTCCTCCTGCAAGGAGTTCAGAGCTCACAACAGTTCTGCTGACACTTAAATATTCATGGCACAAAACCTCTGAAGTCACCTCTACAGCAGCACCTGCAGCTGCTGAAAACATTCCCTGCTCACCTTGGCTGTTCGGTCCCGGGAGCCGCTGACAATGAGGCCACCTTGGAAGTCCACACAGTTCACCTCCTGCTCATGTGCAGAGAACTTGACGCTGTAGGAGCCATGGATCTTGTGAAGGACAATACTGCCATCTCTGAAAAACAAATCCACAGGCAGGGAATTTGTATCCCTTGGACATGCACCTTCCATTAATGCTTTGGAGTGCTACAAAAAGACCAGGACTGATCTCTGACAGGGGCTGAAATTCACGCAGCATTATTAACCCTCCACTCTTCACACATCACCTATCCTCTTGCAATTTCACATCCAGCCAGTTAAAGCCTAATCTGATGCACATGAAAATTTTCCTGGCTATCTTTCTACCCTTCACTTTGTGTTAAGCTGCAGAAACTGTAGCAAAGCAGCCATTTCTCCTCCTACTGCTTTGAGCTTGCCAGAATCCTGTCTGTATGCTGAATGGCTGGAGTAAGGGAACAAGTGAGAGGACATTCTCACCCATGTCCAAGCCTCAGCTTCTCATGCATTTCAGAGCAGCCACGCAGGGTGCTGTGCTTTGAATTAACTACAGAGACATTTAGACCTTTTTCAATCAACACAGTTACTGGAATTTTAAATGCAAGCCTTCATTTTCACCTGAATTTTGGTCTACATTTCACAGGTGAGAGTCCCATGATACCCAGGGTAGATAGTCATGCTTGTCTCTTCCAATTCTGTGTTTAAGTGGTGCGTATATTTTTAAAGTTTTAGCTATTAATGAAAGTCCTATCACTTGCTGTAACTGTAAAAGGCCAGTCAAATGCAAAATTAATTGGAGAAGTGTGTGTGTGCTGGAAGGCTTGGCAATTTTTCCCCTCTCCACAGTTTTATCAGTGGGTCTCATAAACACACACTTGTCTCTAGAAAACTTTCAGCACCACTGCAGTCCCAGCTAACCAGCAGTGCTGATTATTAGAATAGTCTAGTAGCTACCCTGGCTCTAACAGAGAAAGAAATGAAACTTGCACAGCAGTCACGTTTGCCTGATCAGTCATTCCCGATTCAACAATCCTGTGGGTATCAACACAGGTTAACAAGAGCAAAGGGCACTTTTTGAGGTCAACAGCATGAGTCACAGCTCTTTCACTGCTGCAGGAGAAGCTTTTTCAGGCTAGAATCAAAATTTTAAGAGAGGAAGCAGCAGCAGCTGACCACAGCCAAACATGAGGACACTGTATAGCAAAACTGGCCCCCCTGCTGTGGGCTGGAGTTACACAGAATCTTTCCAGCTTCAGTGGCAAAACCCTTAGGCTCCTTCATTCACCCAACTTACCCCCCTCCACTGACAATGTGGGAGTTGACAAGAACAAAACGACACACGTCCTCCTGGTGGCCAGAGAAGATGGCTTGAGGGTGACGTTGCAAACCTGTCCCCTCTGCACAGAGGTGATAGGCCTGGATGTTCTCTGCTTGAGACAGGTAGAGATACTCCCCATCCAGCTCCATCCAGGGCATCAAACTGCAAATAGACAGAAGGTTGGGGGCATGCAGTAGTGGGGAGAACACGAAACGAAGCAACCTCACAGAAAAAGAAAAAATAATTCCATATGCAAACGTATGAACAAAAACAAATGTCTGCTCAAGAAAAGTGAAGCTGGAGCAGCAGGTCACATGCAAAAGCAGGGCTTAATATAGCAGCACAGCTACAAGTGAAGCTTCTCCAGCAACATAAAAAGCAGATTACATTGCTGGCATTTTTCTAACCAAGAGCTGAGGAAAAGGAAGCATGGAATCTCCAAAAGAGAAGATGGCCAAAAGTCTAGTGAGCATAGATAGGAAATACTTAAGGGCCCCTGAACGTGCACATGAGCTCTGTACTTTTTAAGAATCAAGACTCTGGTGCTGGTGAGCTATGCCAAGCATTTCTAAGACAGCATTCATTGTGAGGCTGTTGGTGCAAACAATCAGTCTTGAGCCTGAACACTATTTGCTGGTGCCCAGTAGAGACCACAATGCCACAGTGCCACTATTCCACACAACCCTAAGCAGGGGAGCATGTCACGAAAATACCCTACCTCCTGCACTGTAAGGCTACCCAAGAACTTTATGCTCATTATACAGTGGAGTTATTTTTCTACATTCACACCTCTTCCCCTGCTGAGCCATAAGTTGTAGAGCAAGCTCTTGATTTCTCTTGCCCATCTTTCAGAAGAGCCCATACACCCTTTTCACCCCTGCTTTATGTGGGACAGTGGCAGGTTTGTACAGGCAGGTTCCAATTCAAGGGCAGTGGAGCCAAAAAAACTATTCCAAAGTATTTTGATGTTATATATGGAAGATATGCTTTACTTTCAGGAAGACCAAGAAGAGGAGAAGACACTCAAGCAATATCTGAATCAAGCCTGCCATCTCAAGAAGTTTATTTATTCTTGAAACAAAAGCAAAATACAGAAGAAAATAGATATACACTTGGGTAGTCAGATCTTTGCTCAAGATTTTGCTTTTGTGTCGCCAACAGAGAATCAGCAAATAAGATTTCAGGATATAGTGAGGCCAGATACAAAGACACATGGGACTCATATCCTATGGGGCATGTATCTGTGAAATTGTCTCTGCTCTGCAGTCATTGCCAAGTGCACCAATGTCCATGGAAACACTGAGCAAATCCAGAGCCTTTCTACAGAGCAGCCTTCCAGTTTTCAAACTCTTCAGGAACAAATGGCATTGAAAGCAGTGCAGTTTCTCATAAAAACCTGCCTCTCTCTTTTTTCAGATCATTTGTTCTCAGAGGTCATGATTTTCTGTGTCATCAGAGTCATTACACATAGCTGTACCTCATAACATCACAATGAACAACTAGAAACAAGCAAGAGGACCAGATTGCTCATTAAACAGAAGGTTCCTGCTTGACTGTGTTCATCTCCAGTAGCAGGCTTTTAATCACATGGACAAAGCAGTTGAGTTTGTAATATTCATCTGGGACTTGATCATATACATAGAAAAAGTAAGAGGCATCTTCAGAGCAGGAGCTTTGGGTTTAGGCAGGCTTTGATTTCCCCTTCCTTCCTCCACTCCTATGCAGTCCTCTAAAACCAAGTGAATATCCAGCTCACCTAGACTACAGCCAGTTTCTGTGGCTCTCCTTTTGCAAAAGTTTAGCTTTTTACCTTTTTCTATGGCTTTTTCATAAGGAGAAGTAACAAATCTGAAGCAGGATAAATTAAAATTAGGGGATGCCATTTGGATGGTGGCCTCATTAAATCAGTCCTTGCCTTTTCACTTGGGAAGCTGGTTTAGTAATGATCTCTAATATCCACAGAGCCTGTCTTCACAGATGGTTGCAAGCACTTCAAAGGCAGGTATACAACCTGCACCAAAACCCACTCTGCTCATTACAGCTGTTCCCAGAACTTTAGACAAGAAGTGGCACATTATCCACCACTTCAATCTACGCAGCACGAAAGGGCATGAAAGCTCAGTAGAAGGTTCCTGTTCTTCAGCAGCTAACAAACCATAGTCTCATTTTTCCTTCAGTCTGATGATGTGAAAGATGAAAATTTAGATGTGCTGCTTAGACAAGAGACCTATCTTATGCTCTGCTTTGAAGGCCAAGTACACCTTTGCAGACAAGAATTTAACAACAGGCTCCTATCATTAATGTCAAATATACTTTTTTTTTTAAGTGAAGGAGAGAAGCATGAGAATGAAGGAGCAAAAGGCATATGAATTTTAGATTTGTACATCCAAATCAGGGTCCAGGACAAATCACCAGAGACAAATGAAGCATTTTGAGGGGACACATAAGGCCACATCTGGGATCAAGGTGAGCTCATCGTGAGAGCAGGACAAAGGATTGCTCATGGTATACAGCAGTAGACATGAGTGCAACAGTTTGAAATCTGTAGCAAAGGTTGCTAAATATGACTAGAACTGAACAGATCAAAACAAAGACAAATTCAAATTACTAAGAAAGAAACTCCTGACAGAATGAATCCCCAGGGCAAGGCAGCAATTCTGCTTACCCCACATCCAGCTAGCCAGCAACAGCCAAAATAAGTCAGCAACCCCATGGAGCACAAGGAGCAGGAAACATCTCATTTCAGGGCACAGGTACAAACCCAAGGCCCTACAGCACTTGTCACATAACAAAGAAGAAGAGAAAGAAGGCACTTGCTTGCATTTCCATTTCAGGACTGTCTCCCTCCGGCAGCGTCCGTGCCTCCAGTTCTGAGATACCTTCACCCTTTCCTTCACTGGAATGCCAGCAGCTCTGCAGACAGAGGAGGAGAGATGAGATTAGCAACCAGGACTGATGTCTTCTGGACAACAAATGGACTCAAGATGGCCACAGGTAAGCTCTCAACCCGTTTTCACAATGATGAACTGACACACACTGATGGTGCCAGAGCCACAGTACAGTGAGCACATTCGTGAGCGCTGACAAGAAAGGAACACTGACAAGCGTGGAGGGTTATCAGCAAAGAAAGCCACCTCTGATGATCACAAACCTCAAATGTGATCAAGACTTGATCAAGCATACTGAATGCAGCACAGACAAAAAGTAATCTAAACAGAAAGAAACCACCAGAAGAACCAGAGATATAGGACACCACCTGACAAGAGCCATTAAAGACAAGGACAACGCCACACAAGAACAGATGGAGGAAACACTAGTCAGAACACTGAAGCCAGGTGTCTATCCAGAAGGACTAGTAAAGAAACTGCTCCAGAGTCTCACCTGTCTGACAATCACATAACCAGATACAATAGTCAGAAAACAAGATGTGTCCAAACTAAAGATAAAATACATTCATGTGTATAAACCACCCAATGCACACACACAAGAAAAACTAATCCTTTGCAGCAGCTCACCAAAGGATAGAGAATTCCAGCATACCACTGGAAAATTCTTTCTTTACAGTCAGACAAAGCTACTAAAAGAGAGACTATAGCTCATATAGCTGTTGCTGGGTTACAAATCAAAGTTATTGGAATGAGCTGAGACAAACCAAGATCAACACTCTTCAAGATGTGACAAAAAGTAGGTACCACAGAGACCTGAGACCAAGGTCTCCTTAGAGTCTACATGAATATACCCAGTTGAAGCAGCTGTTCAACATCTGTTTTGTTTTTCATGATCCAGAGTTGATTAAAGACACAGGGAAAGGCAGCTTTAGCTCCCATCTTTCTCATATCATAAATTCCATTATTCAATATCCTTGCTGGAGCTGCTTAGGTAGAAAAGATCAGAAAACTACAAACAAGAAGAAACTCTAGAAGTTATCCTTTGTAACTAGGGGTTATGAACCACTTACTAGACTACAAGAGTTTATCCCACTTTCGTGCATTCATGCATTTCTCAACAGCCAACACACCCAGATGCCTAGGGAGAAGATCCTTGAGAGATGGGAACTGGTGCCTCATCAGAATCAGTTTCCTCCTCCCATCCCTATAGTCCCTCCATTCCACTTCCCAAAAGTAGTGTTTTTGGGTACTCTGTCATTTTTAAAATAAAGATTAGCTCCCTGTAAATAAACATCTCCTGTGGTTGTTAATGGGTGTAGAAATCTCTAACCTGGCCCAGGGGTCTGGCCAGATTCTTACTTTCCCAGCCTTCCTTCCATAGCCTCAGGCTCTTTTTTTTCTGCTCACCCTTCCCTCCTCTTTTCTATGCTTTCCGGCACTTAGTCACCATTATAATTTGACTGCATTCCTGGGCATGTGACCCATTTTAAACAAAAACAGAAACCACACACAGAAAAGCTTTTCATCCTCTAGAAAGCTTTGCAAGTTTACATTTATGATCAGTAGAGCCACACCAATTAAAACTGAATTTAGAAAGCTACAGGCTCTTTATTTTTCATAGCCATTTAAAAACAAACAAACAAAACCAAAATAGAGTTAGACTAGGCTGCAAGAAGAGGAATTCCTTTTTTTAAAGGGAGCACTTGCAAGAGCCCATGAGGCCAGATAGTGTCTGAGATGAGGAATGCACAGTACTGAAAAGTCAGGTCAGGTCCACTCTCATCATAGCTTATTACTCTCCCAGACAGAGCTCAGGCTTTCCGCCTACATCCAATTCCATTCATTACTCCAAAACACTTCTACTCCCTACACTCAACCCTCAGTTAAGTTCTCCCCACATACAGATTTTAAGTCACCAGCTTGCATAGTGATGGAAAACACACTCGTGCCACATTCCCCTCCCAACACATGCTGGCCCAACCAGACATTCTGAGGTCAATGCATAAACCCTACTAAGACTAGATGTAATTTCCAAGGCTCTGAAAAAGGTGACTCCACGGTCAAAAAAGCAGCTTCCACATTACCCTGCTGGGCCCTTTCATAGCAGGCCTTGACCCTCCTGCTGCTGAAAATGGATGTTCTGAAGAGTCACACATTGGCTTGGCCCAGAGCTCCAGTTCACTACTGCAGTTACTCCTGTAACAGACACCTCGTTCTTTCCCACATATGAACAGTTACTGGAGGAACAACCCTCATCCTGGAGAGGATGAGGGTTGGGTGGGGAGACTACATGGGAGAGGTCTGATGGGATTTGGGAGGATGGTGGTGATGGTGTTGTTTTGTTTTTTTCTTGTTTTACTCTTAATAGATATTTTATTCATCCAGCCATTCTGGATCCAGCTAATTTAAACATATCTTAAAAGTATCCTGCTTTTATATCCCAGACATTTTATTTATTTAAAATAGATGCAAGAAAAGGACCAGAATATGGAGAACATGGGGAAAGATGATGTAGAAATTGGACTGACACATTCCTCTCCTTTGCCAGTTACGAGGCAGCAAAGATTGAAGTGCAGTGTTGGTCAGAGACATTTGATCCTTTATATCAGAAGTTAAATCAAACCCAGTTATGGAATCAAGTGCTGATATAAAATTTGATCATTTGATTTGCTTCCTCAACATCACCCCCCCAAGAGCAACTCCCAGAATACATCAAAAAATGTGATGAGTATCACTGCAAAGTATGACAACTCTCAAATCTTAGTAAGTTAAAAAGGGCATCACCATACAAACTTAACAATTTAATTAAAAATTCCTTTTCTATCTTACAAGAGCCTGTTTTGTTTCAGTCATGATCAACACACTCTCTACACTTGCAAACTTCTCAGAATTTTTCCATGATGACCTGAGGCAACCAACAGACATCACACAACTGAGTGGTTGACTTAACTAGGTACCTCTTACTTCAGCAACTGTATTGAACATCCAAAGATTCAGGAGACTGAACTACCTATGAAGCCAAATGCTATATAAAATGCTATGGAGGGAACACTATCCACTGGCAAATGACTACCTTGATCTTTCTTAGTATACAATCCAGAAAAATACTAAGCCACATGCTTAAAATTCAGCACATGCTTAAGTACTCTGTGAAATCAAGATCTTGGCATTTGTGTTCCCAGAGAAGCCACCCAGCAGTGAACTTCAAGACTGCTGAAGGCTGACTCACTGGGGAAGGACTGCTATTTTTAGCAGGACCTACACAGGCCTGCATCAGAAAGCAACTGAGGTACAGTCCAGCATCCTAGAATGATGACAGGCATGAAGGAGCCAGTGAACACTGATTATGAAAACACAATGAAATTCAAGCAAAATTGTCTTAAAGCCCTTTAGAGAGCATCATCTTACACCTCTGCTAGGGCATTGCAATTATCAATATTTGATAAAGTTACATTATTCAGGACATGCAGGGCTGTCTTTGTTATTGCCTAATTACCACCAAAAAGCACTCCATCAGGATCCCAAATCATAGTGCAGCACATGACCTGAGCCAATGCATGTTTCCAATTGCATGCACTCCTGATGAAGGCTCCCTTTACAAAGACTTTGTTATACTAAGAAAGAGAAGGTGAACATTTCTTACAGCCTGAAAGAGAGCTCCAAGAGTAAAGTCATCCCAAGCAACCCATTATAAAGGATTTTTCATTTCCCCCTTCCTACTTCTCCCCACCCTACAAAAAAAGCTAAAAGTATTTTGCTCAAATTATGAATTTCCTCTCTTTCTTGGCAGAGTTACCAAAAGAAATGTAATATTCCTTCTGGACCCCACTTCCCAGCTGCTGAAGTAAGAGACTGGAACTGTCCCCATACAGCACCACTGACCCAGGTGACCTCAGGTACCAAGGCAGTTGCTGGCCAAAAGAAAGCAATGAAAGAATCACTCAGCCAGGGCATATCACCTCCTAAAGCTTCACCTCCAACTGATCTTGCCTTCAATGATCCCCTCCCCACCCAAAGTCCTTTGCCACCAGAAATGGTATTTCTGCAACAGCAAGAGCTTCTGTGCTGTACTGCATCCCAGGAAGATTTCTGCTGGCTGTCTACAATTTCAGCATGTGCCAAAACAGTGGTGCCTGCAACAACATAGACCATGTTACAGAAGATAACACCAACATGTCATACCGTGTATTTTCCCAGCTGCATGGGGCACCCTAATCCACCAAAGTCCTTCATGTTTTGCTGCATTTTAAGTACTGAAGAGCTCATCTGGAAATGCAACTCTGCAGAGACCCACTGAGACTGAATTTCTTCTGTGGACAAAATCTGCTGTCTGCATAAAAGCTGTCACCAGCCTGCCTGAGGCCTGACTGGAAGGGTCATACAGAGAAAAAACAGGTCACAGTGGCTAAGCCCCACTATCAACCTTGGCCCTGTGGCAAGGCTGGCTAACACAAGGACCAACTGCACTTATTTGTGTAGTCAGGACACACCTGTTGAATGGCAGGGCCTCAGTGCAGTTACAAGTCATGGGCCACCAACAGCCAGGCGAGAGGGAAAAGCTATTTATGTCAGGAGCCCCTGCTGCTGTCCTCAACAAGTCGGCTAGCTTTCAAAATGTCTCTTCCAGGACAAAAATTCCAACGGCATTCCTTTAGCACATGACCCTTATTTAGCTTTACTGCCATGTTCAGCCTGTCCTCTGTGCTCCCCCTTCCTTACGGGACATGGATTCAAATAACTCCAAGATGGAAGAGCTCTGTCCACTGTTCCTTGCCTCCCCTGCTGTGTCTATGCCAGCTCAGATGTTACCAGGCTGCAAACTGCTCCACGAAACAGCTCTTGTGAACAAGTCACCTCATGAAGAAGGCAGAGGCACAAACAAATTTCTGTGCACACAGCAAGGACACACGCTTTCACAAAGGCTTCCCAAAAAACCACCACCACCAAGACTAAGCCAGGCTACTCTGCCATCAGATGGCCTCTCCCTTATAAGTGACTGCAATGGGATATTGGCTAGAAACTCCA